AGGGGGAACGTTGCCTATGTACACTCCTTCAGGCAAGTTTCAGGGGCAGATTGAACCTGCGTCTTTTGAGGTAACATGACCCTGTCACCGGCCTTGGTACCACCTCGGCACAGAATGGGCGGCGACGCCATCCTTAGGTAGTTGCTCGGGTCCCAACCCAAAAAGGCTTAGCAGGACTCTACAGTTTGCAACAGGCAATTGGAGAGCTCACTAGTGCTCGTATTTCAGAAATAAGCGTTTGGGCCACTCAAGGCAGGAGTTTATTCTGTGGTGGACTGCTTGGCGGGCCCAATTTTGCATCCCCACTGAGTTCAGGGCTATAGGACATGTCCTTTACGAGGAGACTTCTTCAGGCCCGGAAAAAAGCTGCTCGCAAGCCAAAGCCCGTAAAAATACTGAAAGCCACAAAGTGCCACCAGGCGCGGCCCACAATTTTTGGGAAGCCATTTGCAGGGCACAGTGTGCTCAACCCGAACACCCCCAAATCATCTGCAGACTCAGCTGCTGCATAGGAGGCCGAGGCAATGTGGGTCTTGAGACATCTGCAGCCTCTGGTGATGCCTCCGAGCGGGGGAGGGAAAGCCTGAAGAGCTCGGAAGAATCTTGAGACTTGAGCATCCAGCAAAACTCTCCTCTCTGACCTAGCATGTCGGGGCTTGGGCGGAACTTTGCTCTCTGGGATGCCGGAAAGTAGATCCTGCTAGCAACGCATGGATGCCAAACACTCTCGGACAACGAGGGGGAGTGCTGCAACAAGTCTGTATAGCAGATGAAGCATGCAGTGATTGATTGGAGAAGAGATTGTAGGAATGATTATTGCATGTTGCAATCGGACTGCTTTACGACTCTGCTCTCGGATTCGGTAAAAATGCACGGGGTAGGCTGAGCCAGGAAGACTAGACTCATGCGCGTGCCCCAGACTCGGCTACGCACCCTGCTTTCCGCGACCCGCAAAGGGATCCGCAACGAGTTGAAAACCGTAAAAAATGGGTCAAGGTTCCCTGGATCGTCCAATGCTCTTCACATGCTAGGCTGTGCAGTCTGAAAGAGTCTGAAATCCCTATTCTTCGTACAGCCGATGCCCTTCAGGCAGCCAGAAAGGTTTGCCTCGATGAACAAGATGATGATCATGCTTGTGATGACTGTGATGACAGAGGTATCTCTTCAAGTCTGAAACATCATGTGGCCTGCTCACACAGCGGTGCTTCTGGAAGCGATGTTGCTTGCTTTGTGAGGCTTGCTGGCAGCTGCGTCCTTGGAGC